TTGGGTACGATAGAAAACCTGCAGCCACAGCGGCCCTTTCTGGACCGGTTTGGACACCCCTGCATTAGTTAAGCTCTACTTTTGACTCTTTGCACCGAGAGCCAAAGCAATTTCCCTAGTCTGTGCCTTCCTGTTATACATACATGGCAATAAAAATGATTCTGATTCTGATTTAGAATTTTCCGATGACGGGGTCGGGGGTCACGTCTGCCTCTGCATCAGGCTAATACCGAGCAGCGACCATCAAAATACGTCCCTATAATCCTAAAGGCAAATTTACGGCCTTCATTACTGTATACATTTCCTTTTGTACGGACACTATACATGTGCGATGATGTGTCTAATTAAACATGGAGCTAATGCAGTCAGACGTGCAGACACAGGGGCATCAGTCCCCCTTGGCACGCAGAGCAGTGTTTTGGTTTGGGGCAGAGATCTAAGTGTTAACACATGTCAAAGCTTCAAACTGTTGGCCCCACAGAGCAGACAGCGGCCATAGGGAAACTGCGCGTTCAGCCACAATTCTGATGTCTTTGTTTTGCCCTGACATGTATCCAGCCAAAAGTGGGTAAATAAATACAGAACGATGTAATATAATGGATGATGGGTGTTTTTTTTCTGACACTGTGTTTTCTATTTAAAATGATTCATACTGTTCTCCTTTAAATGGGATTTGTTTCCTGTTTGGTTAATAGTTTAAAAGACCAGGAAAAACACAAGAGGAGTGAGTGCATACGGGATCAAAACAATATAATACTGAGAAAATGTGAGAAGTCAGGTGCTCTTTGAGGATCTGTGGAATAATAATGTCGTAATGTTAAAAGACCAGTTGGGACTTAACATTGTTTCATCCTACCATCAAAAATCTAAATCACAAAGCCCGTGGGCCAATTGTGGCCCTTTGTGTTATTCCTTGTGGCCCTCTGTCTTGGTAACATAGAGAAGTCTTCGATCATAAGCAAAGGTTTTTGTATTTTGAGACATTTATTTTCTTTTATTCAATATAACTTTGGAAAATATTTTCTAGAAGTTTTAGATTCAATCACATCTGGGCCAAATATATAAAAAAAGATGTAAGTGAAGATTCATAGTTAGATATACAAAAATAAAAAAATGGCCAAAATTAACTTCTACAGTAATTACACCCTAGTTAACATTTTAGAACAGATTCAATGTTTCTGTTGTTTTCCTGAGAAAATAAGCTTTAAAAGTATATCGTTTTGTTGTCACTTCCTCGTGGCGCTCTACAATAACAACAACACAGCATGGAGCGCAGGAAAGAATCAGCGTTGTTCACGCGGCGGTAAACTAGCGAAATACAACACGACTAAGCACCACGAGAAACAGCACGGGGAGTTTTTGCATCGAAAGGAGATTACGTGAAAACAACGAGACACAGATGACACTGACGCAGCGTCACAAAAAGCTTTTCAGCAACAACCCGAAAGTGTTGGAGTTCATCAGTTTGGGCTCGCAGCCGCATAGACCATTTGGAACCCAGGTACATGCCGTCGCCAAATACATCTGAAATCCAGTTAAAGCTACGGTACTATTATTTATTTACATTTTCATGCAGCGTGTTTTGTTTGTTGTAAGTGTTTATTTATTCAAACACAGTTAATATAAGTGCATTTATATTCAATAAATGTATAAGGTATAATACAGTTTTGGAATGTTTAATGTGAACATTGAGCAGCTCTTTATAGTTGCAGTATTGCACATTTATGTTGAATCATTTTTATCTGGAAAGTTCAGCGCTTTAGTTCATCCACTGCTTTTGCAGTTACTTGAACAAAGAGTTCAATTATTTAATACATTTTAGCATGATCATTTCCGGTATCGGTCAATATCGGTATCGGCAGAAACCCATAGCTCTGGTAGTGGTATCGGTATCAGTAGTAAAAAAGCTGGATCGGTGCATCTCTATTGAAAATAATTACAGGAGCCTCTAAAAACCGTCTCCCGGGCCGGATTTGGCCCACAGGCTGGAGTGTGACGTGCCTGCCCTATCGTTGCAGTACAGTGTGTGGCTGTATTTACACTTGACCCTCCCGGACTCCCCACTGACTCTTCTTTAAGCTTATTAATCCTGGGTAAATCTTTGACAAGTGACAAAGGGTTAATCTCACACGGATCTGATCTGGACAGTGTGGTCATGACCCACATCAGCCCAGACTCTCTTCACATAATGACAGAAACATGCTCTTTCCCCTCAGAGACCAATATGTACTTTTCATCAAGTGACTGGGGCTTCTGATCTTTTGCTACATCATCATACAGAAGCTCAAGAGGAGATCCTTGTGCCAGGAAAATATAAAACTATGTCTCAACCAAAATGTTGAGTTGTCACCTTTTGTGAGGACTTGTTGAAAATGGTCTTTTTCCTGTCGGCTGCTCCCTTTTATGCACTATTTCACTGCATCTATAAATCTACTTATTGGGCTAACCGCAGTTTCAGTGTACCACTATATTTTAAGTGCATGTTAAAACCCTCAGATCTGTATTTCATTCATTCAGTAATGTTTTATATCATTATTACTTTTGATTGTGTAAATATGATGTCAAGAAAGGAACTTAACTCCTCAACACCTCACTGTTTGATAACATTAGGGCGGCACAATATTTTCGCAACATTTTGAAATTGTGATAATGGCAAGTGCAATATCTATATCGCAATGAAGTGCAATAACTTTAGATATGTACAGAAAAGCACTGGTTTGTCATTAGCCGGAGCGACGGCATAAACTCATGTGGGTTAACGATAGATCCAGGTGAAAATGAGAGTAGTGGAAATCTTCCTTAAAACACAAGTTCCGAATCGCCGGACTTTGGCTTCAGGAGAGACTGTCAGGGCCCAGACCATAGACAGTGCCCAGACCCAGCTCTTACCCTGAGCAGAAGTGCATCCGGTTTATACACTTGAATGATTCAATTGTTAATATCTTCAGAATGTCAAAAATAAGTTGGCGAACCAGGTTTACTTCTGCCGGCTAATGCTCAGGTCGGGCCGAGGTTCAAGCAGAGTATCCGGTACGAGCTGGACAGTACAGAGACGACAGAACCGACAGAACCAGATGAAGAGAAAAAAAAGACAAAGATTGTCCAGGGAAAACTCTAAACACAAATAAAATTCTTACATGGGAGGCAGTGGCGGCTGGTGGAATTTTCTACTGGGGGGGCTATGAATATGATGACTAGATATATACCAGCAGTAAGTAAGTTGGGCTTTATCGATGAAGCGAATCACAAGCACAAGCTGACACTGAGTAGAAATATCCATTGTTTCATCAGCTTGAATGGAGACAAAGTCTGCACTCCTGATTTCTCCAATGATGCACTCTCTCATGACTGACAGCATGCAGTCCAGGAGTTCATTCTGTACGGTCTTAGATGTCCCCTTAAACACAGTGGCGGTCTGCAGGTGTTCATGTAGTACTGCATCCAGTGATGCTACAAGATCCACCAATCCTCTGAAAACACCAGGATTTCCTGAGGATTCACTTTCATCATGGCCTCGCAGGGCAAGTTCAAATGCACCACAGAATTTGACACAGTCTATTATTTTTGATAGGATGTGCCTATTCTTGTCAACCTCCTCATTGTGCTTTCTGATCCCTACCCTGTAGCTTTCATCCAGCTGGGATGAAATATTTATCTTCCCAAACATAGCTAATTTGAGGGCATTTTGCATGTGGATACCAGTCTGCTCATGCTTCTTTGCCTTTTCTAAAAAGTGCTTCAGATCAGTCATACCTGTCTTGATCCATGCTGGGTCAGATCCTGATGTTTGAAACAAGAGGCATGGAAAGCAAAATAAAGCATTAGCCTCGCTACATGCTGCTAGCCGTCTCTTTACGTTCGTCTCAAACTCCCACAGCTTGACCTGTCAATCACTGTAAACGGACGTCACAGACAGTGACAATACAGGTCGCGGGCGATCCCGCCCCCTCAGGGCGCACTTCTCCTGCGCCCCCAAATCGTCTTATCTCTTGCATTGAAGAGGAGCTACTGCGCATGTACAACTTTTAACGAGAGTCCATAGACGGCTCAGGGCGCAATCTTTTGCGCCCTGAGCCGGAAATACGTCCTCAGTCCGACACAGACAACGCTGATGAGCTTAATCAATCCAACTCAGCATAAACTATAAAGTATTTCTTCCACATCTGAAATAAAACACACATAAATTTCGAAATATTTTAATGTTATTATTTTTTTTAACGTTTTATTCAAGGTAACATGGCAAGTTGTGAGTGGTGGGGCGGCGCCCTAGCGCCCTCTATTGGCCGGCCGCCACTGATGGGAGGAGCTCAAACTCTTTACCTTCAATTTTACGGCAAGAGGTGTTGTGTATTAACTTCAGTCACAACACCTCTTGTACAAGCTAGCTACAGTACACAAGAAAAGAATTTGCTGTTCAACCATGCAGGGAAAATCTGTATCTGTGTTGATACAGATTATAGTCAAAAATATGTATATGCAGAACATGTATATACACATCCAAGAATAAATGTATTTCTTCTTCTATTTATCAAAAGAGGAGTAAAAGGTTAATAAATGTAATCCATCCCTAGTTCCGCAGTTAATTTTCCAAAGATTTGCACTTCTCACCCACTTGAATTTTAATCTACAATTGTAAATGGTCTGAATAATAAAGTGCTCAAGTGCACATTTGACACCACCTGGTCCAAGTGTGAATAACCCAATTAAAACAATAGCGTTAATACCGGGCGATTTCCATGGTATCCTTCAATTTGTTACACGGAAGCTGGATCCAATCTTAGGGATTATGGAAAATGACTTTGGACATTTTTTTCCACCTCTGCACTGCGAGAAGTATCACTGCCCCGGCCAAAGCCAATAGTCAGAGCATTGGAGCCGCAGTGGTCTGAATGAGGAGCTTGTAGGATTGTGCGGGATAATGAGGCCATGATGTTAAACTGTCACTAACTTTGTGTGTTTAACATTGAACCGCTTCTCATTCTGTTATTCTGCTCTTTCAGCCGCCTCGGAGGGGAGAGTCAACGGCGGGGAGGATTTCTTTCAGAAGGTGAGCAAGTGATATAGTTTAATCTTGGAGGCTTTTGGGTTTGGTTCAAGTTCAAGGTTCGAGAGTTTATCAAGACTTCATTTGCCATTTGCAGTAAAACCACATTGGAAAAACTGTGCAAGTCTAGCCCCAGTTCAGCAGCAGTGCGGTGTTGTTGTGCTGTACGGCAGATGTCAGGTGTCTGTAGTGCCGTCACTTCGTCGCTAATGTAAATAATTAAGAACAACAGGAACATGGAGACGCTAGGGTCCGCGGGGGTCGGCTTGGTAACAGCTGATACAACAGGCTTATGTAATGCACCAGAAAGGCATCACGTAACTGTAGCATCCAAGTATCTCTCTTTTGATTGGGAGTTAATCATATCTATTCATCTATTAAAGTTAAGCCAGATCTTGCCAGACCTCTGAGGCTAAGCAGGGCAGGGCCTGGTTAGTACTGTGATGGGAGACTTTGGGAACACCAGGCAAGTTTATGCCACAGTGGTGCGACTGCGGCTGTAAAATGCCAAACTGTTGTTGTGTCCCTAGGCAAGACACTTCACCCACGTGCGTAAATGGTTGGTGGTGGGAGGGGCCAATGGCACATACTGGTTGTCTCGCTTCTGCCTGTGTGTCCCAGGGCAGCTGTGGCTACAGTAGTCATTTATCACCACCATGTATGAAGTGAATGAGTAAAGAAGTGACTTTCAGTGTCCAAAAAAAACGCTATATAAAATGTATGCATTATTATTATTAAGTAGGGGTGTGAACCTCAGGGTACCTCACGATACGATACACAATTCAAAGCTCACGATAACGATTATCGACGTATTGGTCAGAAATATACCTACGGTTATTTATGGCTTAAATAAAAGGAAAAAAATAAACTTTATTTCATGATAAATGGAATGGAGATGCGTAATGCAGCCATATAAAAATGAAATATATATATTTTTTTAAATCGATACTTGGCAAAAGCATATCAATAATCGATCGCGTAAGAAAGTATCACAATACATCACCATATCGATTAGGGCTGGGACAACGCGTCGACGTAATCGGTGACGTCGACGCAAAAAATACACCGACGTATAATATGCGCGTCGGTGCGTCACACACAAAACAAAGATGGCGGCGAGCGGTAGCACTAGCAATGCGAGTGCCGTGTTAGAGAAGTGCAAGCCGGTGTAAAGCTGAGATACACTGCCTTGAAGAGATGCACAGCCTCAGCTGTTTATGATGTAATGCAAACCTGCGCATGCGCGTCTCACGGCAGCCGAAGCAAACCAAGATGGCAGACCGTGAATTTCTTTAAAAGTTAAAATACGAACGAATTCAGACACGTATGTCACTTTTAATGCGATTTGAGGCGAGATGTTGATGGTTCTGTTTTGTCACATGTGGGTTTTAAGAGTCAAAGTTTCGTGCAAAGTTTAGTTTAAGCAGTCAACTGCGATTGTGAAACCACAAAGCTAATGTTTTCATAGCAGTCCGCGGCTGCTGACGTAGGCTGATGACGCGTCCTGTGGCAACTCTACAGCTTACAACTAGTCTGTCTTTCTTTTTATCAAACGGAATATTGGCGCCGTAATAGCCGTATTATTCACTGTCTTGCCCGCCGTATATGGACATTTTTCAACATGTGTTCAATATCCTTAATGCGTTTAACTGTTGATTGATTCTCTGATCTGTGTTGGTGACTTCAATGTTGTTTTAAGTCCTCTGAGATGACTTCTACTGTATTCTTTCAGTAACTCTAAAAAGAAAGGATGACTGGTTGACCTTTTTATTTGCTACACAATGCATTGTTTTTCTCTTGTACACTCTTACTTGAATTTTATGTTTGAATTTTGAGTTTAAGAAAAAGGTGAGTAGCAGAGTTTTGACTGTTATTTTTATATGAATGAAGAATTTAAGAGATGCACTTTAATTAATGGACTTCAGTAATATAGGCCTATGTGTCTTCAACTTAAATGTTAAACTCTGTTGGTTCAGGAAGGACGCCATGACGGGCTGATGGCTCCCACTGTTTTTGCTGGAAAAGCACTCTTTGTTTAGCTTAAAGCCTTCAAGTTTACATTGGTTACTGTTTTATTTTAGTTGCTCTACACAAGTATTTGGCTGAACTTTTTCATATTTTTATTGAATGCTAAGCATCAAATGTTTGTTTCAAGAATGATAAGATGCACTTTTTTCAGTAAGCTGTGTTTTCAAGGCTTTAAGGTTTTATGCTACCTCTAAGAATGTCTTATTTTTGAATTTTAAGAGCAAGCAATAAATATTTTTTGTGAAGGAATTCCTGTTTTTTTCATTAAAATATTTAAATCAACATGTATACATCAATATTAGTCAATTAATGGGGAGATAATCGAGAATCGAATTGAATCAAAATCGAATCGAAGCGAAAAAAATAATCGTTAGATTAATCGATGCATCGAAAAAATAATTGCTAGATTAATTGTTTAAAAAATAATCGTTTATCCCAGCCCTAATATCGATATATCGTCACACTCCTATTATTAGGCAAACATATTTAAAAAATTCCCCACATACAGCGGGTTATTATTATTGTGTGGGTGTGTGTGTCTCTAGGAAGGATCGTGTGTGTGAATGTGTGGATGAGATGTGATGTAAGAAGACCTGTACCCAAGTCCACGTTCTAGTTGTATTTGCAGTGTATTTGAGTGTGTTGTAAGCGGCACTTTGTGTGGGAATACAGTGCATCAAATGAACCTGAATAAAATATGTTTAGAAGACATGTGAATATATAATACAATAATCTATAGACTCACCCCTAAACACAGTTAGCAAATCCACCACAGTACTTCATTGCATCAATGCATCTTTGCTGTTCCAAATAGAATACAATAGAATCCATGTTTATTTATCCTCCTGGTAAAATGTTTATGCAGCAGTTTCACAAGGATTTGCACATGGACACATAATCAGTAGTTCCGCACCTGTTTTGTGTATTTTTTTTCTACTTTTGTTTGTACTGACCCGTTTGACCAAGTCTTTAACTGCATGACTGACTGTATTTTGGGTAATATTGGTTGCATTATCCTTAAGTGATGAATAGAACCACAATCTATTATAGCATTTAAGTCAGAGGTGTCCAAACCGGTCCAGAAAGGGCCGCTGTGGCTGCAGGTTTTCTATCAGACCCAACAGGAGCAGAGCAGACTCCTCCCATTTCCTCAAATCTTCAGGTTAAGACTGAACTCTCTGAGGAAATGGGTGGAGTCAGCTCTGCTCCTGTTGGGTCTGATAGAAAACCTGTGGCCCTCTCTGGACCGGTTTGGACACCTCTGATTTAAGTAATGTATGTATTGAATAGACAAACACCATCCAGCCTTGTTACCACATGGTTTTTATAGCACATGTTATAGGTCTACATAATACAAGAATTTAAACCATTGACATGTTTATACAAGTCGTTTCACAAATACCCTTCACCAACACTGAAAGTTAGAAAGTTTAACTTCCTCTTCACCCATTTTAACTTCACACCACAATCTTTAGTGGTCAAAACTGTCTTGAACATAACAAACCATGCACAATACACAAAACCATTAATATTGCGAGTGTGTATTGTATGTCACATTATTATACTGAAACAGATATATCTAATAGCCGCTCCATGCCTGTAAAGAATCAGTACGTAGCTCTCACAAGGTCCTGTATTCAAAATATTGTTCCTAATTGTCTGTCAGTGGCGGTTGCAGAGAAATCCCACAAATTGCCCTTTTCCCCGACGATCCTCCAGTGAGTCCATTCTTGTTTGAAACGCTGCTTCCTGCACAAATGTGGCGGGGCTCTTGGGTATGTTAATGGTGATAATGGAATACATGAATGGATGGTGGTTTGTTTTCGTATGCAGCCTTTTGTCTATTTTTCATATTTGGGTTTGGAGCGTTCGGAGTTAAACGCTAAAGGGAGGGGCTAATGTAATTGTCCCTACTGCCTTCAAAACTAAGTAATGCAAACCAGGCGCCTCTCGAGCCCCTTTGTGGGCTTTTAACTCCATCTCCATCGTGTGTTTTCTCCAGGATGAGAATCTATGATCTGGTTTATAGCCAGGTGTGAAAATACAGGATCTTCACACCTGTGAAGATCCTGTATGTGCTGTATGTGCTGCGCTCTCTGTCTTCTTTCAGTGTGAATTCATGATTGTGGGGATGTGGCTCGTGTTTTTATATTCCTGATAACTTCATTATATTGAAGATTACTTTTACAGGAATGAAAACGTTGCACTTTATAATCAAAATTTTGAGAAAGAGCCAGAGCATTGTAAAACAAATTAGCATAATAATCTTTAGCTACCACGGCCAAGACTGCTCGGCAAAAAGTTTAACACATGTAGTAACATATGTTTGAATCAAGTGTCTTTATTTTTTTCCTTTTTTTTATTTACAAGGAGAAATCTGTTCTGTTGATCCTATGATGCTACAGAAATGATGTTTTCGAGTTTCTTATTTTGTTTTTTCGAAGTTCTATGTCTGTGGGTCACACTCAAATAAGATCAGAGAAACTGTATATAGACGAAGAAGAGAAACATGTAAATGAGTCAAACATTTCTTATATCCACCAGTTATTTCTTAGACTGCAGTAAAAAAAAGAAAAAATCACAGAGAATAGTCTTTAATAATAATAATAATAATAATAATGCATTTTATTTCTTAGTTATCGTTCTTGACAAAGAAAAAAGTAGAGAGTACATTTTAAAAACAGTTAAAATACAAGTTACAATACAAAGTTCAAATGCAAATTTAAAAGCAGCCTGAACAGAGGATTGTGTGGTTATTGTGTAAGTGAGTAGGCGTGTCGTATTGGCATATCTTGTTTTAAGACTGGATTCAAAGCATGATGCATTTTGCCAAATTTAAGAAACATTTTACTCATTTACATGTTTCTCTTATTCTATTAAAAATGGGCAGTTCCTTTGATCTTATCTGAGTGTGATCAACAAATATAGAACTTGGGAGAAAAAACAAAAGAATACATTAAAATAGATGTGTTTCT